GGGGGGGGGAGGACTGGAGGAGAGCAAGAAGGACCATCAAGGGAGAAGGCTCACAAATCCCTGGAAGGGCCGGGCAGGGGGTTACAGAGAGGAGAGGGAGTGAGGGCAGTGGCTGCTCCTGTCCTCTGCCACCCCTGCCCACTCACTGTCCAGGGGGCTTCAACACAACCGAGGGGACAGGTGTGTGGGGGGTCAGGTCTGATAGGGAGAAGAGAGGAGCAGGAGAAACAAATCGTTAAAACCTAGTGAATTCCCCTAAGAAAACATTTCTTCCTCCTTCCCTTCTGGAGGCCCCTTGGTTGGTGTGGGAAGTAGTGAGGAGTTGGTGAGGAGAGAGGGGAAGAAGAGATGGTGTCAAGGAACTTTCCTCCATTCTCCCCTCTCCTCCCCACCAACTTGGAGCTCACCAGGGCTGGGAGGGAAGTGGCTGAGAGCTCACGGGCACCCCATCGGCCGCCGAGAGGGAGCCCACAGCTGTGGGAGGGGCTGCCACTGCTGCCGCCGCCGCCGCTGCTGCTGCTGCCGCCGCTGCTGCCATTGGACACACTTCACCTGTACCTGGTGGGTGCGGGGGTCCCCCTCAGCAGGTGGGCTGTGGCTGGGGGGCGTCTCCTGGGACAGGGGGGCGGCCCCCCCCAGATGGGTCTGCATGTGGCCGGCCAGCTGGGCAGGGGTCTTGCAGTGCACGCTGCACAGCTTGCACAGGATGCGGTCAGCCCGCGGGGCCTGGAGCCCATGGTCCTTCACCGCGTGGATGCGCAGGTATGCTGCCGTGGTGAAGCCTTTGTTGCAGAGCTCACAGACATGGTGAGGGCCCTGGCTGTGCACCTTCATGTGGTCCGAAATATAAGCCGAGCTCAACATCTTGCCACACACATGACATGGCACCTTCTCCTCGTGTCGTACTGTGTGGGCCCGCAGTCGATCCTTCGTACCAAAAGCTGCCTCACATTTCTCACATTTCTCACATTTGAAGGGCCGTTCTGTTGAGTGCACTTGTCTGACGTGACTGTTGAGGTGACCCGGCCGGGAGAAGCTCTTGCCACAGTGGGAGCAGTTGTAGGGCTTGTGCACAGCGCCGTCATGTGAGCGCACGTGGTAGCTCATGCGGTCCTTGCGCTTGAAGCGCTGCTGGCACACCGGGCACTGGTAGGGCTTCTCGTCCGAATGCGACAGCTTATGTCGGTTCAGGTGGTAGACGTCGCGGAAGGCCTTGCCGCACATCTCGCAGGCGTGGTTCTTCCGGATGCGCTTTCCCGAGGCGGTCGTGGTCACCACGCCACCGGCGGCCACTGCGGCCGCTCCGCCGCCGGCACCCGCTTCTCCCCCTCCCCCGCCGGCTCCACTCAGCTGGGGCACGCTCAGGAGGCTCAGGGGCACCATTGTGGGCATCTTCATAGCACCCGAGGGGACCCGGCCGGCTTTGGCTCCTGTGTGGATGGCCTCGTGCCTCCGGAGATTGTAGCCGTTCTTGAACTCCTTGGCGCACAGGGCGCAAATGTAGGGCCCCTTGCTCTTTGTCTTCTTCTCCAAGGCAGATGCAACCGGGGCCACGGCGACCGTCGAAGTTGGGGCTACGACGGCGGTGGCCGCGGC